TTGGTTCCTATTAAAAGATCTACATCAGCATCGATTTCCGGAATACTTAAGTGTCTCAAGTGCGGCCATTTTCGCAGATCTTTCGTACTTGCAATGTTGCCTCTGTGAACAGGCATGCTCGCTTGTGTATAGATCTCTGGTACATCACAAAACCTATCAGAGTCCAGACCAGATACTTCTATGTCAGACAACAGGTAGCTGTCCACCAACTTCTCTTGCCCCATTGTTCGAAGAAGAATTCCCATCTTCCTTCCTGTAAGATTAAGCCTATTCATGAGTCTCTCTGAACAAAACGTAGCAGTACTACCGGGGTCTAAAAACGCATACGTTAGCAGGGTCTCATGTCCTCGCTTGGACTTCACTCGAACAGGCAGGATTGACAACGCACAGTCCTGCTTGCCGGCCCCTGTTAACCCACTAGATTGAACAGCCACTACAGCACCTTGGCTGGCCCTGTTTGTGCAAATACCAGCCTGTGAAGAACTACTTTTGGAGTGGACATGCAATAACGTTGCGTGCTTAAGATTGCAAACTCTGCATGACAGACGTTTCCTACAATCTTTACTCCTATGCCCAATGCACAGACAACCAAAGCACAAATTGTTTTGCTTCAAAAAAGACAACTTCTCTTCTCGCGTCTTCTTATCCAATAGAAGGCAAACATCCAAAGCATGACCAGCCCCACAAAACAAACACACGTTCAAAGTAAAGTTCTTCTCTCCCTTATGGACAGGCGCAACCCTATTCTCTACAGGTGCTATTGTAGTGGCATAACTACCTTTAGGTTTAGTACCAGACTTAACATATTTAAACTCCTTTCTTACAGGTCCTGGAGAATCCTGAATGTCTCCAAACAAAGGGTCACTTGCTATCTTAACTCGCTTCTCAACAAAATACACGACATCATGAAAATTGGCTCTGCGATTAAACCGTTCTTGCAGATCACAAGCCGCATCTCTCCAACGGTCCCTAAGCTTATAGGGCAGCTTCTTTACAATAGTCTGCATGTTGGTGGGAACATTCAAATCACCCACACAATCACCCATGGAATTGCAGCATTCACGCAGCAACAAACTGTAGGCCTGAAGCCCTTTAAGGTCTTCGCCTTTCACTATGGGCCATGAAAGGACCTTGCCCATGTATGCAGATGCTACCTTAAAAGAATCTCCAAAATGCTCTTTAAGTAAAGCCTTTGCTTGCATGTAACCATGTGCAGGAGGTAGATATAGGCAACTTCGAACCAAGTCCCTCGGCTGACCTCTAGTGTACTGCTCAAGGTAATACAAACAATCTCTCTGACTTTGAGTTCTAGCTTCTATGTTATGTTCGAAGGCTCTAATGAACGTCTGATATTGCAGTGGATCTCCATCAAACACATGCACATCTCGTTTAGGCAAAAGAAACATTGACTGTTGTTCAACCAATAATGATGTAATTTCATTCTGTTTTTCCAAAACTGTAAGAAAACGTTTATCCGAGGCATTCTCTGTCATCTGTGGCGGGGGTTCAAAATAAGACTGCGGAGCAGCCTGACACTCCGCACCACTAGATGGGATCATAACTGGTAAACCGGCCCCAATAACGACAGAGTTCCGGTTAATACTCTTAGACCTTACTGCAGCACTGATAGATGGAGCATTCCATGTGTTAACGACAGGCACGAATGAACTAGCTTTTGCATTTAAACTAACGGCCTTGGGTTCTCCCATACAAGATCTTTTCCCATCAGATTTAGCAGACACATGAGATCCTTCTGAGGCCTTTAATACATTTACTTTGGCCATGGACGCAGCCAGCTCCATGTCTAAGTCAAGGGCCTCTTTCTTTCTCCTCAATAAATCCTGCTGCTCCTCCATTTTCCTTCGCAGCTCGTCCTGCTGTGCTTCTATAACATGTCTCTCTTTGAGAAGTTTCTGACGGGCCATAAGAGCTGCTGTCTCTGCCTCTGCTTGTAACCTGGCAGAGGAAGTGGTCGACACAGACCTGCTCACTACTGTACTACGCCTTTTAGATTTATTGGAAGTGTTTGAAACACTGTCACTCGGTTCAACAGTCTCAACTACATTATTTACACGTGTCATCTCATTTGTAATACTGCCACTTAAAACAGCAGTTTCCACAGTGCGAGCTCGAAACACAACAGCGCCCTCTGCAGGAAACACATCGACAACACCAGGCAACTCCAACAACCACTTATTAGTTTCTTCCGCAAAACTGGTTTTAAGCTCCGTGACACTTTCAAACCATTCATTTTGCCTTTTTTGTTCCTCTGGTGGAAGCATAGGAATCACATTATCATGCAGCTGACAGGCCTCACTGTACAAACCGGACACAGTTTCCAGACAAGAACGCACCATTTCAACATTTTCAACATTTTCCTTTAACTCAGATATGTCTCTCATTGTAGTCTTCATTCTTTTGACTTTGGCTTTTCTCTCATCCTGAAGCCTTTCCAGCTTCTGTTCAAAAGCCTTTTCCGTAAGCTTTACAGGCCTCTTAGCGGATTCATTTGACTCCATTGTTCATTCACACAAAAAAATCCAATATCCAGGAAAAAACTCCAAAATTACACACAGTGGCTTTAATTTTCCAAAGCACTTGAACAATGTACTGCAAGCGGTCTTCTCATTCCCCCTAATCTCTCCGTAGGCACTAAACTAGACTCAACCCTAGTCTTCTGTGCGTACTAGCGATGGGGTCTTATGTACCTCGGATATACCGATAGACTGACGCTGAGCAGAGCCCAGATCAGATCTACGGCGGTACTCCCAAGCAAATGCTTTACCCGCTTGACGCACGAGCGACCCTACAAAACAACAAAAATAGCGCTCCACCTTGTGTGAAACGCCACTGAGCCTAACCGGGGAATATAACAGTCAATGCGAACCAAACACTTGCAGTACCTCACGAAGCAACTGTGTTAATCCATTACGAACAAGTTTGTGAATGAATGAGACATCTCCAATGCGCGTTCACGTCTATCATTCCGAACCTTCAACGCGATCCGAAAGCGTTAAAAAGGGTTAAATGACAATACGATGAATCCTCGCATGAAAATACATTTCTGTTGACAAAATATTGCGGCGTAAAATGTCCAAACTGAGGCAATACGCCGCGGCAGGCTAAGACACGGGCTTTGTTGCTGACGTGTAGATTCATTCGTATGCGGATAGGGACTTACTTGATGTTTCGTGGAGTTGACTCAGTTGCCCTTCCGGATGATGATGGATGTACAGAATGTTGCTTACGGTCAACAGAAAGTAGCAGCCCGTGCTCACCCTGCCATGATGCCTAATCCCACAGGTCTGCACATGCCCCTCTTAAGCCCAACACAGGTGCAGCCTAATTGAGAGACACCACTCTAAACTGCCACCCAGTGGACAAACTAGGACAGTGCGTGAGCCCTCAGCCGTGTAGATACTAAAATAGAAAAAGCTAATATGTGGCTCCTACAAAATATTTAACTGATTCAGGATTTTTCTTCTCCATAAATTTAGGGTCTCCGGTCAGAACTATTGTTTTAGTACAGGACGTTCCCATATTTACTTTTTAGTTATTATTCCGATATCTTCTTCAACTTTTATTTATTAACTATTGCTTATACAACAGTGGATATTAATTACACATTTGTAAACGATCTTAGTGGAATGCCTCACGGGCCAAATTACTTCCTCGAGAAACAAGCTTCTAGATAAAAACCTAATGTTTCATCCGGTTTCTCTCTGGGTGTTTAATCACAAGGAATGTAATTGTTTTAGACCACTTTCACGATTACTTAAAACATAATGAGATGCAATCCGACTCTACTTCACCAAGTCGACAACTTTTTGTTATCACCGTTAGGTTTCTAGTTGTCCGGTGCTTCAAGTATTGAATTGATCTCCTTTCACACACACATTCACACAGACGTCTTTAATTCAAAATGAACCCCGTTCACTTTTAACTGCAGTAAAAAGTAGTCCCCGACTTACTCTTAATAATAACCCCGTTATTATACAGGCTTATGATAGTCCCCGACTATCTAAAGATAAACCCTGTTCATCCCGGCCTTGACTGTCTGCAAAATAGTCCCCGACTATTTAAAAAGGATAATCCCCGTTATCCCAGGCCTTTTTTAATTTGAATCCCCGACTCAAAAAGTAAAACCAACTTGCCTGTTTTGGCGACGTAAGGAAACCGTGGCTTTTATGTCTTCAATCCGAATTTCAAAGCTGATCAAACCCACACGGAGACGGTCGCTGCAGTTTTTCCTCCACCTGCAACCTCTAAGCCTCGCTGCTGTGGTCAGATCTCCAGTTGGAATGATGTTCAGCTCCGAAAAAAAAGATGTTTTGACATCCGGCGCAAGAAGGACCAAAAAATGTTAATGCTGGTTCACCAGGTTTCCTTAAACAGTCGTCCGATGAAAGGAAGGAAATTACAAACTTAGATAGATATAAAAGAAGGTTTAATATATAAAACAGAATACATATAAAAGACAGGCAGAGAGAGAGCCCGGGTCTGCTGCGGACGACAGGCAAAGCAAAAAGACCAACCCTGGAAGTTACGCCTCACCTCTTATACCAAAGTTCTAAAACACACATGTGACCATTTGGTGACAATTATGACCTATCGAACTCTAGGTGAGAAAACCAATCTCCTCTCATCAGTCAGGAGTCTTCTTGTCACAACACAGATGTCTTCTCGCTTCATGCTTGTTTTGTTTACTCTGCTCTTGTTTACTTATGCTCTTTCACTCTTGCCTGGGGGCTGCATTCTCGCCACGCTCAATGCATTAGCTGGTTAACTTGACTACCCTAATCTACACACATTTATTAATATGATAATACACATAACATTTCTTGACACAGTGAGACATGGAATCTTTTTATATCCTGATGTTTAAAGTGAACTCTTGTGGGACCGGCGTGACTGTCACTGACACAAGAGAAACACGCATTCATTATGGAGCACGTGTCGAGATCGTTTTCTCTTTTATACTCTGTTTACTCCTAACCCAAATGGCTCTGTGTGTTACGACCCGATACACAACCAAACAGCAGCTTCCCCCTCCCGCGTCGCCTCCTCCTCCCTCTCACCAGTCTGACAGCGATCGGAGGGAGTGTTGGCAGCCGCGGGGCCATGTTATTTGCACTTTGCTGAATCATGATCTATGATGTTTACATTGCCATAAAATCCCCTGCAGATGCGCAATGCTCGGTGCTTTTGTTAATTAAGGAAAAGTGGATTAACACAAAAGCAACGGCGCGATTACACAGGGCCCCAAAGTACGGTGGAAATAGTGTAGTCAAAGAGAAAAGTGAAATGTTCCCAGCATTATTGGCCAAACTGTATATCTGCCTCTAACCTTACATTTGTCATTCGTTCCTCATAAATGTTGGTACTTGGATGATTCGGTAGTGTCAGGGAGGCATTTGGCTAGAGTGACCAGACTCTCCAATTTTCGAGACAGTCCCTGTTTTGAGCTTTGTGTCCCGTAGGATTTCACCAGCCCCGGTATTTTGTCCCACTTTAAAGAGCGACTAAACACCTGTGCCCAGCCTGACTCCGCCTCCATAAAAACATTTGAAAAAGTTCTCTTAAAAGGGCGTGGCCTGGAGGACCAAGGGACAAGAAAGGGGGCTTAGAGTTGGGCGTGGTCTGGGCTGTGATTGGCAGCTCACCAGTTACACGAAAAAAAAAAACAGAGTTGTCATTGCTGATTAAAGCAATAGTTGTAGTATAAATGTAGTACCACCAAAAAAGGTTGAGAGGGTGCCATACTGACCTTTTTTGGCTCAAAAATGAGATTTACTCTAATTTGGGCTAAAATGTCAAGAAAATGACTACAATTAACATATTTATGCAGTTTATGAGTTTAAAAAAGTTGATTTGGTGTTTAGTTGCTCTTTACCGTCCCTGGTATCCTGATTCTTTTGCACCGATTTATTGTGTTTAACTAA